TACTAGCAGTGCCCGCTGGCTTCACCCGCGTTCAAACTTCCGATCGCTTCTAAACTTCAAAGTATCACCCGCTGTAGCCCAGCGATTTGAAGATGGCCTGAAAATTTCATCCAAATCGCTCCAGCCATTTTGAAGTCCATAGGTAACATACAAATCGATTTTTGTATACGTATATAGAAGATAGACATGTTTTTATATAATTTCTAATACGACATTCAACAATTTCCACTCAGAAACCTTAGAAAGGTTTCCAAGTGGAAGTTCTTTGGCGATATTATTTATTTTATTAACTACAAACAGTATATTTAGTTTAGGATAATGTTAAAACGTCATGATCATAAGCCAAAAGGTTCCTGATAATATAGAAGAGATAGAAAACCATTAACTCCATAGAGATTGTAAATTTCCTACAGATAGTAAAGAAATATAATTAAGGCAGCTGATAGGTAATGGTGAAAGAGATGATAAGGGTATGGCCGGGTTTCCGTAGGTACGTATTCCGATTCTATCAGGCAAATCCCATATACTAAACCTGAATTGTATAGAACAAACCTTCTTGTGTGAAAAAATAAAACCGATAACAAAAAAAAAGGGTGTGCTTTGATTTGTATCGGCTGGCACCGACTTCGAAAATGACTGATTAGGTATCTATTGTAAATGAAAACTACCAATCAGTTATTTTTTACTTTTTAGTGTTTTTTTATGTCGGTTTTGACTTATTACTTTTTTAAAAGCCTTTATTTTTCCATCTTTAGTGTAGACGTACCTAGTAGCAAGCAGTAAGGTAACAAGAAAGTATTTAAAAAATTTATTAGGTGAAAAACCAATCATCCCCTATTATCTGCACTTAGGGGTGATTTTTTTTAAACCAACTTTGCGGTATATCCTATCCAATAAAAAATCATCAAAATCAGACTACAATGTAAAAATGTATGCTTGTTTAAACATAAAGAACCTTCTATTTTTCTCGCCAGTTAAAAAATAACATTGTACAGTACTCAATTTCCTTACACAACACTCATTAGTAAATAAATATCATATCTATTACATTTAATTAGCAGTAAAACTTCATATATTACACTATCCGATTACGTAGTTACTTTCAAGCGAACGACAAAAACTATTACGCCTTCGCTTTCAGATGTTTCACATCGAACACATTGTTAGAACAGTTTTACTGCGTTTTACTAAATCGAACATTCAAGTTATGTGAATAGACACGCAAAAAATGTCTAACACACGGCATTATATGTTAGCTTCCAATTTGTGTATTAAGTATTTGGTTTCTTTTGATTTGTCACTTTCTTTTTAGAAATCTCTGGAATGGCTAAACTCAAAACAATTTAAAAGAGCTGTTTTCTGTGAAAATGTCATCGTAATTTATTTATTTTCAAGTTAAAGACAAAGAAAAAACGGTAAAAAAATGGCTTAATATAACAAATATCTTTTACGTACATAGTATATTTTTTTATTTATATTGTTTACGATTTTTATTATTCTTAATATAATTTGGTAATATCCTAGTTAGTGCGGATTTTAGAAGAATATTGTATATCACAATATTATATAAAATATTAATCGCGATTTTAAATAATCAACTAAAACATAAATAAAGTACCTACTTACTCCTAAACCTATTTTAAAAAATAATAATAAAGTTTTAAATAGCTTTTAGTCCATTTAAAATTCGACAGGGAAAATAATTCAATCCAATTTAGAGAAATAAATTGAAACTTTACTACACCACAACGGAAGGATTTCAATATATCGCTGAAATAACTTATCCTCTGTATTTGTATGAATAGTTTTATTATACTTAAATTATACGTAAAAATAAGGTGTTTTATTCTTATAATCGTAATTCGATATTTAAAATATTTATGACTAAAGCCCAGACCTACTACTATACCTATACTATACTACTACTATAGATTATACCTATACCTATACTACTACCATAGATTATAAATATATTTTATGTTAAAAATAATAAAAAAAAAACAAAGTACTATATAAAGACATATTAAAGCATTTTGAAATTCTATTAAATAATAATAATACTTTCAACCTTAATCTAAAACCCATTTAGACTAATACAATCATTTTAAAAGCGCAAGCAAATACATATTATATGAGATACACACACGGAATAAAATATCTCTCATTTCAATAAAACTGAAGCGATGTACAATAGAACCACTGGAGCGTGGAGTTCCGGTTCACCTCCAACTCTGTATTATTCATACCATGACTTCTGTAGTAAAATTATATAACATTACTATAGTAATTAATGTATTAACGTCGTGATTCAAAAATATTTACTGTTAATAATTATAATAATATTAAATATTACTGATATATTTTGAGGCTTGCTTATATTTGTTGAATTATTAATTACGGCGCTGCTGTTAAAGTCTTGTTTTTTTCTTAAATTGTAATAACAATATCGTCTAAATAAAGCAGATACGTATGTACAAGGCTAGAATATTGTTATATATATATACATACATAAATAAACTTTTAGCATTAAATTACTGTAAGAGTTCAAGTTAAAAGGATATGTAGATTGCGACTCTACTTCTAATAAAAAATTAGATGCTAATTTTATCTGAGGCAATGTGTATAATTTATACCTATCTACATCAACATATTATTCTTATTAAGTACATGAATGAAATAAAACGATAACGAGGTCGTGCCTATTCGTCCATTACGTAAAAACCAATGAAAAGATTTGAATAAGATAATATATAAAAACTATATATATATTGGATTTGTGTAAAAAAGAAAGAGAACCAGAAATCAAAATAAATCCGCGAAATAATCCGAAAAGATAGTTTTATTTTAAATGTCAAATATTCGCGTAAATCTAAATGAGTATTATAAAAAGAATGTTAAGTTCGATTATTGAGTTAAAAAATACTAAAGAATTCTTAAACATCTTATTGTTAATTAAAAGAATAAAATTTGTAATTAAATCTGACCAGTTTTTGCGTTCACTGCAACATAATTGAAGTAGGTTTTTATAAAAAATGTCGTCGTGTTACAGAAACAATACGATAGATTTGTAAAACCATTTCAATACTTTTATATAAAATGTCTATCGAGCGTGGGATTTAAAGCGATCATTAACTTGAGGATAATCTCTTTTAAATAAGAAGAGATGCCATTGCCCTTATGCCATACGGTGAAGTGTGAACATTGTACATTGATCTCGCTTGTGTTTCCCTCAAATGTCACACGATTATATTGCTATTATAACTGTCTCGGTGGTGTAGTGGCTAGCATGTACGGCTGCACACTGCATTGTAAGAGTATAACTAATATGTAAAACCTAAGAACTTGGTTTTTGATCATCTGAACGCGGGCGGAGCCGCGGGCAATTCTAGTTATATAATATTAGTATTATATAGTTCTTAGTGGAAATTGTTCTTGACTTCTATCAAAATTATCTTAACTTTGCCGATCCGAATCTATCAATTTCTGCTATTGTCTCTTGCATAAAATGATGTATAGATGGACGTGACGAAATTATAAGGATTTTTGCCTTTTGGCTACGGAATCCTAATTATAAAAATTGGTATCACAGCAAAGTAAACAACTATAACTTACAACGATTCAATTTTAATTATAAACTCGTCGGGTAATTGTTACAAGGATAAGGATAAAAAGAGTTTTTTCTCAGACCTTACCGGCAACGTACATAAACAAAATTCATAATAAAATAAGTGAATACAATTTCAAGTGAAATGTTCATAGACTAAAATAAGAAGGGTTCTACTACGTGTTAAATATTATCATTCTATCTTTTTAGTTATTTAGTAGCTTGCTTCCCAATATAAACTTTCATCCCCATTTTCACCCCCTTAAGGGATAATTTCCGAGATAAAAAGTATCTTATGTCCTTCTTAGGGTCTCAAACTATCTTCTTACCAAATTTCATCTAAATCGGTTTAGTAGATCCAGAGATTACCCCCTACAACGTCACAAACTCACAAACTTTACCTCTTATAGTATTAGTATAGATTTATGGATTTCAAAGGTAAACATTTACTACAAATTTGAATTACTTACATAACTACAATTTCATTTTTAGTATCTAATTTTATTATATTGCGTATTTTAAACGGACTACGTGATATTATTTAAAAATGCATATTAAGTTATCTATGTTAAGTGACATTTTAAGTAGGTATTTTCTTATCAATTCAGTTTAGTATTTAAAGAGGATTGCAAGTACCTGAATTCTGAAAGTTTCTTATATATTTTGTTTTTTTTAGTTTCTTCAATTGACCAATAAGCAGCTAAAAATATGCTGTTTATTTTTTTTTGTATTCATTTTTAAATGTCAAAACCACTAATTATTCCACGTATATAAATAACCAGAATGTTAATGAGCTGTGAAGCCACTTATGTAAAGAAATGTATCAAACTGACTATTGTCATCGTATTTGAAGGACTAATAAGGTAAGCAGTAAAGAAAAGCTACATATTAACCAACACTATGTGGCTGAGAAATTTGAATATATATATATATATATATATATATATATATATATATATATATATATATTCAAATAATAACTATACCAAATAATATATTATGCGAATATATTTTGTTGTTGATTTTATTTGCTTAAGCAATACCTGAGTAAGCAGGCACAATATGACAATCTGAGTAAGTAGATTTTTATAATTCGTACTTTTATCAGCTATGCTTTTATTTATGTCATGTATTTATATTTTTTATCCATCTAATATTTTTTACGTAGACGTAGAGTTCTGGTACACAAAAAATTGAGCAGTTTTATAGGCATCCAGCGTCCTCTTTAGTACTGTCCTGGTTTGTGCTCTGCCTAAGGATATTTTGCAGTATTCTAACGCCGAGACGATTTAGATTTGTTCTATAAATTCTTATTATTTTTAATATAAATTATAAAGCAAAAAATGCTCACGTAAATATTTTTAGTTGTCAAGTAAAACCATATTAATTTGAATTAGCGGAAACAAGCGCAGTTATTACAATAGCGCAGAACTAAATGAAAAGGTCGAGCACCCGGCATTGTCTCTGGCTTACCACCTTTCACTGTTTGCTGCATGTATTCAAATCTTTTATAAAAAAAAACATAGAACTACGCCGACTTTCATTCATACGTCAAGCAAAATGTCAACATTTCAAACTAAATTGTAGTGATAATGTGTCACATAAATGAATGTCATGAATAATTAAAAATTACGCGTTAAATGAAGAGCAAAATTTGGTTATCGTGTTGTCCTAAATTAAGACGTACCGGTGCAAATCTCTCTTCTTCAGCGTTCAAAAGATCGCCAACAGACGATGCCTTTGCTTGGCTCGCAAGATGGCGTCTGTTCAGCACATAGGAGAGCTCATCCAGGTATCTCAATGTTAAATTAGCCATTGTAGCACACACAAAACATTTATCGTTAAAACACGTAAACAAAATACACTGCACAAACACATCCACCCTCTTCCATTGCTGACGCGAAACTGAGTGGCAAACGCAGAGCGGACGCCGTGCGAGGTCAAAGATTATTCTGTAGATAGATATTCTGTTAATCGCTTTTAAATATTACTTAATTTAATTTCTATCTTTTTTGTTGATTTTTGAACAATCTTATTTCACTTATAAATTTGTCTAAATTTCCACAATAATTATCTTTTACACAGGTTTTATTAAGGAGGTTATCATCACAATCAAAACGGTGTCAGAAACACAGCACAAATTAATAACAAAGTGGATGGTAGTGCCTTACTTTAATTAATTGTATTTTATACGTACAAAAATCTACTTAAAAGAAAAACAATAAGATTCGGTTTTTGCATTATATAAGGGTTTTCATACTTTTTTACTGTTAAGTGTAATTTGCAAATTTATTTATTTTGCCGAAAGTAGGTAATAGACGTATTCCAAAACCATACTTATATTTTCATATCAATCATAAAGAAATAGAAATAATATAATCAATCAATAAAATATAGCACTTCGTATATATAATTAGTACATACCTCCGAATTTAAACATTGTGGCGGTAATTTACAAATATATTAAATACTTACTACTTTTCGCTTCTAATCCATTCGCGTGATCTTTTGAAATACATAGCGTAGAGACTATAGAGTAAAACTGTCTTTAAGTAAAAAAAATATTAACAAATCTATCCCACGGGAACCGTACATTTTTGAGGGATAAAAAAAGCTTATGTGTTATTCCAGACTATAATCTATCCCTGTGTCAAATTTCATCCAAATCCGTTCAGCCGTTCTGGCGTGAAAGAGAAACATCCATACATCCATACTCACAAACTTTCACATTTATAATATTAGTATAGATAAGTGTTGTAGTTATAGAGTTAAACCCTTACCATACAGACAACTAAATTATATTCTGACTTATACATATAATAAAATTGTAACTGAGCTGAATCTGTGCATTAAATATTTTTTGGAAAATCTATCAATAATAGAGGCCGAATCTATAGTTTTTAGAATTTTTGTCTGTATGTCTGTCTGTCTGTTACCGCATCACAGAAAAAACACTGGAGGGATTTTGATGAAATTTGGTATGGTAATAGCTGGTTAGCCGGGTCAACATATAGGGTACTTTTTACCGCGGGAAAATATCTCATTTCGGAGAACAAATACAAAAACTACATAGTAAGAGTATACTAATATGTTAAACCTAAGAATTTGATTTTTGGTCATCTGAACGGGGGCGAAGCCGCGGGCAGTGCTAGTAAGTATATATAACTGATATTTATTTACTTCATTTATTACTAAGTTAAATATAACAATATCTTATAGCAAGTTTGTCTCATCTACCAGCCAGAGTAATACAAATTGTATTCTGTGCCACAATAGCATCTACAACGTGGTCCATTTCTTTTGTATGGGAATGCCCACATCTGTCATTGTGGGTGTTGTTTGAGTCGTAGAATATTTACATATGTTTATATACTGTATTATTATATCTTTATTATTATTAGAACTTGTTTTAGTAAGTCTTTCACGTAGGACATTATCAAGTTATTAGAGTGCTAACTTTTTAAGGTTTCAATTTTTAAGACCCAAGTGAAGCATAGGCGAGTCACTAATAGGTAATCTCCTAAGAAATAATATTCTTACACAGAAGTTTCTTATATTACGAAAAAAATATAAAGTTAGTATAAAAGTTAGTTATTTTTGAAGCTTGAAACGTACTTTGCCGAAGAGTAATCCGATTCAGTTTTTCTATAATAAATGTTATTATAATATGTTAAACACTTCTTCCTTCTAATTATACTAAAGTTAAATGTAAATAATTTCTCAAATAAATTAGGCTATGCAGTGAACATTTTTTCGATTAATAAACTCATTTGGCTCGAAGCCCATAAGATTATCATAAACATCCGTCCGTGGCGGTTTTAATGATTTCCGTAAAATGAATAGTAAGAATTTAAGAAGTAACTCATTCGCAATATTTTATTCGTATTGCTATTTAAATAAAAAAAAAATACTTGCGATCTACAGCGACTGTCGTTAATTCCAAGCAAACGTGTTCCTAACGTATAAGTGTATACATGCCCTTCCGCGTAACCTAACATTTCCATTGCGTTACGTGAACAATAGAATGGGATCAAACGGCAAAGTATTATATTGTTTGAGGTTTGGAGCTTAACTTAACAGTATTTTATGTCTCCGCCAATGATCTGCGGTTTAAATTGTACTTGCAAATATCTTTGTACAGATTTATTGTTACAAAATATGTACTGCTTTTGGGTTTACCTGAGTACATTCTATTTACCCTTCAGTCACTGAACTCTCGTGAACACTCGTTTTATATATATATATATATATATATATATATATATATATATATATATATATATATATACTCGTACTCGTATATATACATTTCAATCAAACAGCATTAGCAAAAAAAATCAGCATTTTGTCATAATAGATTTTTCAAATCTGGCCAATAATTTTGAAACAGGTTTTTTTTTTAAATATAGGACACATTTTTTTATTAAATAGTTTTAGTAGCCGTATTTGCTGACTTATTTTGGCGCAATCGCCTTTAAACTCTGGGCACGTCAGCGCGAAGATTATCTGCTCGGTTCCTTTATCTGGTTCGATTAGGTACATAATCGTGCATGCTATTTAACCGTACATCGTTATACCGGTAGCATTTTAACGTTCAAGATAAGCATAAAGAACGTTTACTGTGAGGTGAAAAAGTAAGCACTATCCATTGGACAAGTTCCAATTTTCATCAAATTCATTTGAAATTACTTATGTAAGTATAACATTTCGTTATTTCCCTAAAGGGATACCTTAAAAATATTGATAAAGAACTCCGTAGTAGGCATTTATTCTTCTTTTATACTTCTGCTGATGATCTATAAGCCTTAACAGCATCATCGGGTGGGTTTGAACGATTTAGTAAACTCATTTAAAGGAGTCACAGCACCAGGGAAGTAACTTGGCAATCATTTATGCCAGCAGCTTGCAAATAAAATATACTGGCATGCCATGCTTAGAAATTCTAAAATGCACATTCTGACAGAAAGCCGTGGAGTGGAAAGCTTTAACTCTGCCTGACTTTCATTTTTACCAGATTGGGACATTTGGTACAGGAATCGAAGCCACATATAAGCCATATATAAGCTGTGGCACGTGCTCGTTAATCATACAAATTATGTGATTATGTGTTTGTATGCACATAATACATAAGTAAATACTAATTGGTATCGATTCTATTCAAGCATTTTTCAGTTAACGCTAACTTTAACCTCGAACTACTTACTGCATTATACCTTGAACTTATTAATTTTTCTTTTCCAATTTAATTGAACTATTCCTCAAAATTGCTTATTGAAAGTCACAGTCATTTATCTATACTATCTACACTAATATTATAAAGAGGTAAAGTTTGTGGGTTTGTGACGTTGTAGGGGGTAATCTCTGGATCTACTGAATCGATTTAGATAAAATTTGGTAAGAAGATAGTTTGAGATCCTGGGAAGGACATAAGATTCTTTTTATCCTGGAAATCGTACCGTAAAGGGGTGAAAATGGGGATGAAAGTTTGTATGGAGAATTGACCTAGGGACGAAGGGTGAGTCGCTATTTTCTATATAAATAGGCAAAGACAAAGCAGTTCAATACCTTTTTACCCTCTATTTGTCAACCAGTTTTCATTTCTTTCGGCCGACTTTAAAAAAAGGTTGAGGTTCTCAATACCGTTGTATTTTTTTTTATTTAGTAGGTACCTACTGATAAGCTTTATTGCTATGAGTAAAATTTTGGAAACAGATTTTTTTTTATATAGATAGGTAAATTCTGTTAATTTATCAAGATTGGTAATATAGATATATGTACATATTTAAAAAAAAACTCTTTTCCATAATGATTATGGTCAAATTTCGAACACTGGGCTATATTAGTATATATTCATAAGTATAGTAAGTAAGTTTTATTTAATTGGGATTGACATAATTGAATTTTTTTTTAATATCAGTGACCTTCCATTGATTTCGGTGGATTTTACTGAAAATATTGTATTGCAAATTATTAACACCATTGCATCGCTCTATAATATTTGGAAAAACTAAACGCTGAAGTAAATGTAGTAAATTTAAACTCAAAAAAGTATATATAATGAATTTAAAAAAAACATCACTTTTATATATCTCAATAATATAATATTTTAATATATCTAATTGAGTTGAAAAGGGGTGTTCGTTACAAAAATAAAAACGAATTGATTACCTTTCTTTTAAAGTCAGTCAAAAATAAAATACCAACCTCTTAAAAGCTATAAAGAAAAATTTTGAATTTCTCTTATAACCAACAAACAGTAATTAATATGTAATTGGGCTCTTTGTTAATTCATTATATTTTCAATTGGAATATTTTAGACTCTTTCTTTGTGATATTTTAAAATAGGTGATATTTTATTATATATTTGTATACTAGTGACTTACCCTTGCTTTGCTCGTGTATGTCCCTAAATAGTAAATGCCTTTTGTTGGCAAAATTACTAATGCTAATGCGTTCTAACTTCTAGGGCATGGTATATTTACGTATTACATTTCATCCAAATCTATCCATAGGTACTGTGCAGCATAAAGCAGTTACAAACATACATACACACGAACACACACGCATACAAACTTTCGCATTTTATATATTATTGATATATAACATTTTGATATGTATCTGTCGGTATGGTCGAAGAAAGGCTTGGTTGACTTTTTTCTAAAGTGTTTTTATGTAAATATTAGAGATGTGCCGACTACGACTTAGGCCGATTAGCCGACTAGTCGGCTGTAAAGAGGCCAACTAGTCGGTCGACTAGTCGGCCAAGCCCGTTTCGTTTACCGCTCATTCACGCTCAAGTCGCAGCCGCCGCCCGCG